AAAGAACATCTGATACTCCAGACTTATCTCTTAGCCATGGGGGAGAACATCTGATACTCCAGACTTATCTCTAAGCCATGGGGGAGAACATCTGATACTCCAGACTTATCTCTGAGCCATGGGAAATAACATCTGATACTCCAGACTTATCTCTGAGCCATGGGGGAGAACATCTGATACTCCAGACTTATCTCTGAGCCACGGAGGAGGACATCTGATATCTAAGATTAAGGTTGAAAAAAAAGAACATTGAATAGAAATTACAAAACATTAGAACAATAAGAAGAAGAAAAACGTGTAAAATCCGGGGTACGATTTCCCGCGGTGGACAGAGCTCGTGAAGCCTTGCACTAAACAAATAGACAGACGTTCATGTAATTTAGATTTGAAAGCAATTTAATGAATAGTTTAAGATACCAAAAATAATGCACTAATAATATTTATCAACATTACGACCAAAAAACAAGCGGATTCCTTATTTCTAACACAAAATATCAGATGTCAGCACCATCGCAAACCGTCCGTTTCAATGTGAAAATTAATTATGACATTTTCTCTTGGTATCTATATTTCATATGTCTCATGTTACTTTGAGCTAAGACCAACCTTAACTAACGGTATCAGAATACTTTTAGTGTTAGAGTTAATGACTGTAATTTGTGATTTCAAATCACATTGATAATACGATCTCAAATCATTGATCAGTTCCGTTCGACGCATAATAATACTATACAGTTTCTTCAGACACTGTCGTGTATTTGGCGCTAGTGAAACATTAGAAGAAATGATTTTTACAAGAATAACTTTAATGGCTTAGACATATACTTGGATGTTGCTATGGTAACGACCATTACCTCAAGCAAGTAAACCTCTCTCTCGCCTACCTCGTAAAAAAAAAATACAAAAAAAAAATCCCATCAAATTTGACAGTCATACCCTTAGAACAAAAGTATGCTAGACCCGGCACACCCGATTGGTTGTATACAACAGCAATTGAAGGTTGACTGATTCCGAACGTTGTCACGGTGCTACCATTGATTTTTGTTATGGTGGTATACACAACTATCGGCGTTAAAGTATCGAATCGGTGTTGGCGAAGCTGCAAATACAACGGACGGACTACTGGAGAGGAAAGTTTCCTTTCCTTAACAGTGTGGAAAACATTGCTTTATTCGCATAAAATCGTAATAGCTTGTCAAAAATGTTCAATTACGTACGAAACTTGATGTTTTACGAACGGTAAGTATGTCGATAATATGTTAGATTTTTTTTGTTGTGATTTCCAAAGTAGTACATATAATGATATATACCTCGTGTTAAGAATAAGAAGCATCGTGTTTTAAACGAATAATGAGTTATTCCAATATTTCTAGATACGTTTTAACACAGATGCAGGTGCGAGTGGATTGATGATAAGCTAGTTACAGTTTCTTACAAATCTTGTTGAACTGGCTTTATTTATTACGATATTTAATGTTTAACGTTCAGTAAACGTTTCAAGCAAAAACCGCGATTTCAATATATTGGATCATTAAAAACTATTCGAAACATATGTCCTATATGTGTTATAAAGTCTGTTAAAGAGTATCTGGATTTCTTTTCTCTATTTTCTAACTAATAACCAGAGAGCAGGCACCTTATCGTCCACTCTAAGGGATTGACTGTCACAATTATAATGCACCCACGGCTTAAAGGTGCGGGGAATATTTTGTGGTATCGTACTGATTCGAACTTGGCTCGCGAGCTCCGAAATCCAGAGCTCTAGCACAGGGCCAATCCGCTGCTCTTTAAAAAGATTAGCTGTTTAAGATAACATTATTGTGAAAGTCCTTACTGAAATAACTTATTATACACGATACTCAAAGATGATCTACAGTAACAACTGTACACGAGGTTGGCCTTACAGAATTGATCAAGAATCGGTAATAATACTTCTTTTTTTTTTAAAAAAAAAGGGACCCGAAGGCCTATAATCTCGCCCCCAACCACAAAAAAAGAAAAGAAATATAGAAGTGATGATTAAATCCCACTATTTGATTATAGTGGCTCAAGATTTGACGATGGGTGTTGTGACTAGCACTCTTCCCTCAAGTCAATCAGTTTTAAATTAGAAATATTTTTTTCGCAGATAGTACTCATGTAGCTTTGCGCAAACATTCTAATCAAAAAGGGAGTATTTAATATTACCTAATTTTACGAAAAAGCGTCTGAGTTTTAGAGAAACAAAGAACATGTAAAGTTAATTATTAGGTAAAACCCAGAAGAAGTAGGTAAGAGTTCCATATGGCACCCCCCACTCAATTTTAAAAA